TATAGTAACTAAATAGGAGTATAGCAATGAGAGGATCAGACTCTCTATTGAGTGTTTGTGTAAACCCCAAATTTAATTTATATAAATAATAATAAATATATTATATATTTAATAAATAATATTTAATGATGTTTGAAGTATGCTAGAAAATGATTATGAGATCAAATTAATGTAATATAAATATATAAGAGCCAAATGCACAATTATGCTCGATGTATACTATAGAAATTTATGACATAGAGAAGATTGTATTTTTACATACTGCAACGTTCGTAATATGAAAATAAAAGACTAAAGTTTAGATATATTCATATATTTCAAAAAAATCATAATCACCTCATTCGAGGGGATACGAAAGTTACAAGCCAAAAATACAAGAGTATTTATCAGATTGATTTCCAGTTTCGTCGTGTTTTGGGCTGTAGTTTCTCGGGTTTCTGTCATATATGCATATTTTAAAAATGAATAAAAACTCTTTTCTCTGTGTTCCACAATCCTAGTATCCCTTCCCTCTCTCAAACTAGTTCTTTTTGGCGATTTTGAGATTGTTGAGGATTCAGCGAGTTTTGTGCTGTTTCAGTGAGGATGTTCTCTTCAAGGCAGGTGTTTTTACATATGAGTGAGTAACATCCCATCTCACCTTTTATTGCACTTTTAAGTTTTATCGATTCTTTATTATACAAAAAGATCTTTAAATAACTTATAAGTGAGATAATTACAATAATTTTTAACTTATTAAAACAGTAACATGAAAATTCAATCTAAAATAATTAATATATAATCACAAGTTGCTTTAAAACATTAAACATTTGTATATAAATTAGAATTCACGATATCTCTACATGCTAATTTTCGTTATGTGTTTCATATAATGTGATATCAATAATATATACTTGAAAATAATGATGTAATTATGAATTATTTAAAGACAAACAGAAACCTGTGAGGGTTTCTGCTTGTTGGTGATCCGCGACACAGTTATGGCATGTTACTTTTGTTAGTGAGTTAATGTTGATAAAGGAAGTTACGCATTGATATTGTATTGAGAAATATTGTTTCTATATGTATCTTCATATGGAAGAATGGTTGCGGACAAATTTAGATTTACACAACAAACACGTGTTAATTTAGTATTATACGCATCTATTCATATATTCATCGATATTCTAAATTCAATTATTCCTGTGTAGGCAATTTATGTGTCGTCATACTGTAGATAATCATCATATATCATATGTTTCACATTCATAATTCGCCAATGTGTTTGGGTTCATACATTATCCATGGTTTGGATAATCATATATATGCAGTCGATGTGTGGATGACCATACACCTAGTTTAGCATTGTGAACCCTTTAATACCTTGATATGACACTAATCTAATAGATACATGAACTTATGTGGGTTTTGACATAGATGGATTTGATTGAATGGGTATATGTCTTTCGTTAATATAATGTTCTGTTAATCTGTGTTATATTTAAGATTTACAATTTAGATACAAGGTATAATACATAGTTCAATTGTTTGGATTATTCACCTCGAGTACAATCGTCATGTGTAAATTCCTAAATACTAAATCACTATTGTAGATAAATGATTATGTTATATGTATTAACGATTCTATAAACGAGCCTCTCCTTGGGTTAGTGTATTTCCGCTGCGCTTGACGCTCTGTTACTCATTCAATAACGACCGGTGCACGACGATTCGCAGTGATGTGATAATATAGGCGTCCATCTTCATTGTAGTTTTATTATTTATGGGAGCTCACTCTAAGACATTATTGTTTAGAATATTGAGAGTTATGTCAGAAGTTGTAAGGTTGTGCCTATTCCTTTTATCCGATATTCTGTATTAAGCCTTGTTGAATCTCAGACAGATGTATTTCAAGATTCCAATATTTTATATGTTGATGATAAATAACATGTTTTTCTCACATTTATGCATATATTATTGATTACTTTTACTGCTTTTGTACCTACACCTGTTTTGACTCTACTAAGAGTTGATATAATTTGATGGTGAACGTTGTTTTTTTATTTATGTATACACGGGTAGTTATGAGTTGATATTCCTTATTCAACTCGGATCTGGCAGTCCATAGGTGTAACAGGGCTCAAGTTGGATGCAAGTTGTATGACTACATGGAATAACCAAAGACTTATGACTCAAAACGTAGAAGGTGTATTGAGGTATTTTTCAAGAAGCAAGCACAGGATTCTTAACAAACTCTCATTACTGAATCATTCATGGAAATTATAATCTAATAAATCCATCTTAACTCACAGGCACCATTAATATATAAAGAAAACGATGGAACAATGCTGAAGGTTTTTAGGTGCTAAACGATTCTATGAAAAATGAGAAGGCACACAAAATGCTTCACAAGAAATTTGACCAAGACTGAGACTATAAACGAATCATCCACAGAATGTATGATTGACCCAATGTACAATTAATATTTTTTGTTTTTTTTTATAATACTTATGTTCCTATGCATGTTATAGTGGCATTTAACTTCTAAATAGAACATAAATATAAAAACCGCACTAGAAGTCGTTGTCATGGCATACAAAAAAACTAAACACTGATAGAAATAGTTTGGCTCATATGCTCGACCAAAAGAATTATCCTATGTGAGAGCGAATAAAGGTTAAAAATAAGTTAGATATAACGGATGATTAGGCAAAAGTTAATTGATAGCTAAGGTAAAACACAAATTGAGGAATTGATTTGATAAAACGTTATGGCTCAGGTGCTAGCAAATCATTAGATATTGCTGCTTGCATATTAGGTTTTAACTTAAGAAAATGTAGTAAACAATGTTTCTAATGGAATTATGAAGAAAGGTTTTTGTTGATGCAACCCTCAGGTTTGAAGTCTTGATTTCCAAATCATGTTTTTGAATTAAAAGTATGTATCGTCTCAGAAAGCTCTAGGCTGGATGACCATCTATATCATATCTTTTGAAAATATTTAAAGGTGTGTATAATACTTTGTTCTTCTTATGAATAGTGACATCTTGTATAAGAATTATATTGATGAATTAATAGATGTGCACTAATGATCTATACTCTAACAAAAGTTTGAAAAAGGTTATCGGGATGAGTCGTAGATGACTTGAGGGGGAGCTAAAGTTCATTAGTGTTTTCAAGTAAGTCAAAGTGATATGAATTTTCATACTTAATCAAAGATACATGAAAGAGACTCAAATCTATTGGAGAGAAATAAAGCATATGAACACGCTATGATCGAAGCAAGCTCACGCTTGACAAAAAGGAACCGTACTACGATCAAAGAAATACAAGGTATGATTGATCCTTCTTATCTTACAACTCCGACATTATATCATGCTTGTTGTAGTCTAATGTGCATGCTTTCAAGCTAAACCAAGGAATCAATTAACGAGATAAAAAGATCTTAGGTATTGATACACACACAAAACTGGTTGTGTACTCCATCTTGATAGATTGCATTTCTGCTTATTTGATGCGTTTATCGGTAGTCAGTGAAGAAAGCACAATGGCATGTTTATTTAAGGACATTCCTTAGTCTGCCAGGTCCATCGTAGCAAAACAACTGTCTGCCAAGACCGAAGTAATATATTGCCTTAAGCAAAACAACACTGGTTTGTGGTACGAATGTGCATATTCCCTATACTATTTTATAGAAACATGTGATTAATTTTCTATGTCTTTTTTTTTTCTATTGATCATTCTTGTGTGCTTATTAAAAAATACTTCTAGAAGTGACTGAGATGAACTTTATTTATTGAAAATTCTAAACGATACAAAGAGTGTGAGATTGAATATCATGATCAATACTAATACTGATTAGGAAATTCTAGGCATATTACTAAATCATTCATGATTCTAATCCCTGCTTACAAAAGATGTTTTGAATAAATCTTAATTATTTTTGCTCGTAAAACAAAGGAAAATAATTGAAAATTATTTGAATAGGTTACATAGTTTTCATTCATGGCTACTTAGAGAATGTTATGTACATCCTTTAGATGGAAATAAAAGCATGAACTCTAGAAAAAGAAAAAGCAATGGAATAAAGAAAAACATATAATTGCTCATATAAAGGTAGGTCTATAAGTGACTAACCTATGTATATATATAATAATAATTATATATTATATAAAATATATAATATATATTATAATTTATATATAATACTATGATATATTATAATTATAATCTATAAATTATATATATATATTATAATAAATATAAATATATAATTTAATATATATATTATATAAATTATATATATATTATATATATATATATATATATATATATTATAAATATATATATATAAATATTAACACACACACACACACACATATTAATATGTATGTATTATATATATTATGTATTAAATATCTATATAATTATATAAAATAAATAATATAATATATATTAATAATATATATAATATATTAATATCTATATATATATATATACACGCACACACACACACACATATATATATACTAGTTGGATTGCATGTGCAATGCACGTGGTAAAATTTTTATTATTTGTTTACAATTTATAATTTTATTTAGTTAAAGATTTGTTATTAAATTATGGAATGTAAACAATGGGTCAAATATATAGACATAATATAAAAATTCAACATTTGAACAATGAAATTATATTTATTGATTGATTTGGAGATAGTACACCGGTTGCATCTATTACGTGATTGTTCAATCAAATATAGTCACAAGGATATACCTAATAGTAATGTTTGATGATGTGGATGTAATTCCAAACTCATGGCATTCTATGCTTGACTAAGCCTTTGCAATATGTAATAAGTGAGTATATATATTCACGCATGAAAATTTCACATTCCCCTATAAATTGCAAAACACTCATTAAACTTTGTATGATCAAACATTATTAATATGGTCGATGAGCAACTTTCTAAGGGCATGTGATTTGAAATATAAACAATAGATGAATATTCCCGAGGATTATGGGAGAACAATCATCAGATAATCAAAGACTGTCAACACATCCAAACACAAATAGATGAACATCCTTGGCTACAAATCTCGAAATACTATTGGATACTCAAAACATATGCAAACCCAGAAAGCAAACGAAATCAACACATTCAAACTGGAGTATGTACACAATAATTGAAAATTAACCCCTTCAAACGACCTTAAAACGAAACGCTATAACTGAATTATCATCACACTAATATCATCATCAGCAGAATTATCATCACACTAATATCATCATCAGCAGAGCCTTTATTAGCAGAGTGATCAGTAAGCTTTTTACAAGCATAGAGTGTTGATGAACACTGAGGGTCTGTGCAGAAGGGTCGAGCTATATCTACAGCCTCCTTATTGATAACCTACAAAGTTAAAGAAGGAACAATGTCAGTTTTCGGTGGAAATCTGGAATGGAGTTATGGACTGGTTGAATTTTAAATGGAGGTCTTGTGATTGGAACATGATCATTGGTTGGTATTCAAACAACTTAAAAGGAAAGGGTTCCAAGAAGAAGTTAAAGAGGCTCGCGCTTGCTGACACAACTTATATGATCTGGCAGGAACGCAACTTAAGGATTTTCCAGAACAAAATGAGGAGCTCGCTGCAAGTTCTTCATAATATCAAACTGTCAATATATACCAAAGTATTACATGAGAGTACAAATGTTCATATGAGGAATCTCATTTTGTAAGTTGGTTCTTTTGAGTTTTGATTACCAGGGAATGTCTGGTTTTTGATATGTTACACAATGTCCATATTGGAAATGAATAAAGTTCAGTTCATTTACCAAAAAAAAAAACAATGTCATATTTTTGATCACTACCTATATAGAGGATAACACAACAATGAGACAAGATAAACCTGAAACTCACCTTCCTTATCCCACAACCCATCACAGGCGAGAATCAAAAACTCGAATTCGGGTTTAATTGGAAGGATTCTTGTTTCTGGGTACGGTATGACAAATTGTTTCAAATGAGAGTCTTCAATTCTCCTTGAAACGGCTAGTGTTTCTTTCAATCTCCATAATCCTTGGCAAAAATCAATATAGCCACTCTGCATAGAGGACATATAGCTTTAATAACCATCAAGTTTACATCAAAAAATGATACATAACCCATATTGTAATTATATTTACTCTTTCCTCTTTTTTAACTTTTACTGAGTTAAATCCATAAACGCAAATGTCCTATTCAAACAAATTTTCTATTTCAATAAAGCATGGACATTAACATATAAACTCATCAAATTTAATAAAAAGTGACACCAAACCTACAGTGAAAATTATTGGTGATGTTTTTAGTTTCTAAAATTCTAAAAAACCTTAATGAAATCATCAATAACGTATGTGGACTTCTTAGCCATTATCTTGAGTGATAGGAATATTAGAAACAAATTTTGTTTGTAAGTTGCATAATAGTTATTTACATTTCTAAAGAAAAAGAACATCAAGGAAGTATTATAAAAAACAAACCAAATGAGAAAAAGAATTCCTGACATTTCTAAAGAAAAAGAACATCAAGGAAGTATTATAAAAAACAAACCAAATGAGAAAAAGAATTCCTCATTGAAGGTCCATATGGAAATAATTATAAAAAACAAACCAAATGAGAAAAAGAATTCCTCATTGAAGGTCCATATGGAAATACACCTGTACAACATTGTAAGGTATTATTGTCATTGAATGACAATGTACCTCATAAGGAGCTCTCCGCGTGCTGATTACATAATTTTCATTAAAAACTGGAACGACTATGAGATTCAACAAGGAATTGACAGTATCAATAAGCTGCATCCTGAATCCTGGATCTTTAAAATCACTATCAGTCATGACAAGTTGAGATGATGCCACGTCCAGCTGCATAGAAAATGCATTAATTAAGAATGTTAAAAAAATTATCATGATATAGATTGCCATGCACAGGATTAGAGAATAAATAAACAAATAATGACAAAAGGATAATATAAATTTTTGAAAAAAACACCTTTAGGAGCATACCTGATTGAATAAGGCATCAGACCTGAATGTAAATGCACAAAAGGGGGAGAACAGGGCTGATTCATTGGAGTCCTTTTTAGTCACCGATATTTCACAGCCATGCAACTTGTTATCAAACATCCTCCAGTGATTAGTGCCACATGGCTGATGAGCATGTAAGACAAGGCTATACAAAGGAAACTTCATGGCGAAACAACATATTGGAAATCATGGTCCTGCACAAAGAGTGTCTCTATGATTACTAAGGAAAACAAAGTCTACTAATACAACATGTTTTAATATAGGAATCTAACCCATAAAAAGACATTGTATGAGCCTAAGAGAAATGAGATCACCACATGAGAAAATGGTAACGATACAATAACAAAATTCCATTTTCCACTTGACATGTATATTTGACGCTTCATGAATCATGATTTAAGTTGTATAAGCATTGTGTAAACTTTGAAAAAACACAATTTAGAGTGCAAATCAAACTATATGTATCAATCTATCTAAGGAGATGAATATAAAAACAACATAAAACAAGTCAACAAAAAATGATAACTCAATTCTGTAGAAAATTATACATAAAAAGCAAAAATTAGCATGGGAGAAATACAGCAAAGGTACATGAAGCTTACTGCATAATAAGCTTTCTTAATTTCTAAAGCAGTTGCATTCTTATTCACTCCCAGTACATCATAATAGTCCCTTGCAAGCGCCGGCCTTGTTCCTAAAGTAATCAAAAAATAAGCATCAAGTAAAGAAAAATAAACTTTTACAAAACATTCCTCTTATTCATATAGAGACAAAACCTACCATGAAAATTCCTCTTATTCATATAAAAGACGCCACTTTGAACACAACTTGTCCATTTTCCTACACAGTTTACTCCTCATAAAATAAAACCCAAAACCAATTAATTCATAATACAATCAAGAACGTACCTTTTCCCCAGTTGGAGTCTGAGGAAACCGTAGACGATGAAGTGCATATCCAACGTGATGACTGCTCCGACTACAAACATCCAAGCAAAGAAATAGTCAAATTACTGATGGATAATTAAAAAAATTTGAGAATTTTTTTTTTTTTTTGGGGGGGCGGAGTGAACGAACACTTGCCTAAGTTGCATCATATTATATATATTATTCCAATCAGAATAAATAATTTAAAGAAATGTGATGCAATGGTTTTGTAATGCTATACAGGTTATCCATCATTTTGTGAAACAGAACCAACTTACCTCACTTCTAGTAGAGTTGTCCATCATAACAGATGGTCTTACAGTAGGTGTTTGAATAGGAAGAAGTCATAATATCATCCAATTGGACGATCTTCTTTCGGTTTGAAACCTAGTAGTAGGCAATCTTCATTGATTATCCTTTCAAGAACACTGATAACCTGGCCATGTCATAAAACAGCAAAAAATAAATTTGGACTACTAAAAGAAATAAATTAGAATAACAAATTTGCAAAATTAGCTACCTTCTCTGTAGAAAGCTATTGTTTCCTCTCAACAGTTTCAGGAATCTGTGCTTGGTCATCAGATTTCTTGCAAAGGACTCATCAACAATAGTTTGTGTGCAGTATAGATAAGTAAAAAATAGTTGACATGAAAATTTAAAGTAATAAAGTGAACTATTATCTGAATATGTATTTAGATTAACACAATTGAATGTTAAATTTAAGCTAATAACTACAATAACAATCAAAGTATGCAATAGTTATCAGACAACTATATGAGCATATGTCTATAAATCATAATTTGTCATAACAAATTAAATTCATCAGCTTATAATCTTAAAAGCATATGAAAAGTTCGTTCAAAATCCTTCAACCAATTTGTAAATGTAATAAAAATTAAAAATTGTTCATGTTTAATTTTTGTGGGCTCTTGATCAAGACTTCTTCATCTTTGTCTTCTTTTTTGGTAAATCGAGAACTGAATCATCGTCATCAATATTGATTGTGATGTCTTCTTAGATTTGGATTTCTTGTGCTATTATCTTTCCTTGTGCACGTTCATCCTTTGAGTTCTCATCTAACTTTACAAGGAACTTGTATGTCTTTCCGATGTTGAGAACAAACTTTTGAAAGAATGAACTCTGATTATTTTTCTGCTTTAATGAGGAAAAAATTAAGATCTTATACATGAAACATATTGTTTTATATGTATAAAATATAATAAAGTAAGAAGTTACCTCTTTTATATCATCCATGAATTTTTGAGGCTTGCATCCTATCAAAGTTTCTGCTGCGTCAAAAGTGTTACTTTTGCATTATATGTCGCATCTTCAACTATGATTTTAACCACATACCTACATTTTATATTATCATTGTGCATCAGATGATATTTTTATATTTAATCTTTATATTTTTCTTTCATGAGTAATTGACAGTACTTTACCTCGGTATACAATCTTCATTATTTTTTTGACAATTTTAATATTTGTCATAAATAGTTTTTTCTACTTTTTTATTGCAGTCTTTGCAAGAGTAGTACCAAGCCTCATGCCTATTTAAGATATTAGTTATTTTTCCCGTAAAGCTACCATATTGCGCCTGTAGAGTTTTTAAAATTTAGTTAGTTATAATCGTAGTTTACATGTATTTAGTAAATAAAATAATAAATTATAAAATAATTCGAAAGAAAATAGTAAAAAATGAACTTTTTAAAAAATTAATGTAAAAGTAATAAGTGTAAATGTATTTGAAACATATTTAGGATAACTTATATATATATTAAAAATATATGATTAGAAAATAAATATTTTTTAGGGAATATAATTAAAAAAATTCATGTTTACTTTATATCTTATCATGAAACAAAATCTATTTATATTAACTTGTTTTGAAACTGAAGCTCTTGATTCATTAATATTTTATAGTAGGATTTTTAATATCATACCTTTGAAGCTCTTGATTCATTAATATTTTATAGTAGGATTTTTAATATCATACCTTTGATGATTTTTGTGAAGCTTGCATAATGTCAACAATATTCATTATACCTTTGATGATTTTTGTGAAGCTTGCATAATGTCAACAATATTCATTTTCGCTGCATTTTTAAATAGCCTTGATGGAGCAACATTAGTCTTGATATTGTCTTTTGAAAGAGCCCTGCACATAATTTTAAAAATATTAAAATTTTATTTTATTAAGTTACCTTTTTTTATTTGAATTACCATTCTTGCATGTCCTTAGCAAGCTCTATTTCAGGGTTGATACATACTATTGATGCAATTTGCGAAGTCATGCACATCTCCCCTACATATATAATAGTTATAATTAGAATTTGACATTTTTTGATAAATAATTTACAATTCAATAATATAAAATATTACCTTTGTACAATGATATTTTAAAATCTGATAGTGCTATTATAGTTGTCTCATTCATATTGCCTTCAATAATTGAACCTTCATTGATTGCTAAATCTCCGAATAAAATTACAGACAATGTTATCTCACTGTGCAAGAAAAGTTATATAATTTTTTGTTAATATATTATATTTTGAATAATTAATTTATTGTGAAATAAAAACATGTGTGTATACTCTTTGTCTACTATAATGATGTCCCGCCTTGTGTCCGCCTTATTATATCTTGTAACACACTTGATCATAGGCTTGACATTTGCTATCATTGTAAAAACATCTGCACATAAATTTATAACAAGTTTAAAATTCATTTATAATTCTTTAAATAAAAAATAAAAGGTTTTTACAAATACTTACTTATATTCCTTGTATCCTCGTTGGAAATTGCCTCTTTGATTGAGATAAAGTTGTTCAATATCTTATCAAATTGAAACTCTGCTTTTGATTCTTTGATAGAAATGTTCTTAGTCAATGTCAACTCAATTGACTCATGTACATTTCCATAAAGAGTCAATGTCAACTCAATTGACTCATGTACATTTCCATAAAGCGGGTTTATTTGTTTGACTTCTCCATTTAAGATGAAAACAATATGATTCTTCTAAAGCATATGCTTATACATTTCAATAGTTTCTCCAAACATAATGTCTTGTAATTTTTCCCCCTGTAAATATTACTAATATTATCTCACAAATAACTAATACATTAACATTCATTTAAACCTAAGATAAATAAGTGATAGATGACGTAAGTTATGTATAAATGTATTAATTAATGCTAGTGTATTATATTTTACAGATCTTTATAAGTTACATTTTTTAAAAATTTTGCTTGATCATGTAACTAAATAATAAATTTATGGTCAATATGCTAATTAAAAATTTAGTCAAAATAATAATTATTTTGTTACAATGTGTATACAATGTTGTGTTGTTATGTCATATGCAAATTATTTGCTTGCTTATATTGTTAGACATATGTAGACAATTAATTTACGTAGAATTAGGAAGAAAGCATTATATTGGTTGTAGAAAATTTACGAAAATGAATTACATGTTGCTTACCTCTTTAATAAATACATGAATAATTTTTATATGATCTTATACACAGTAAGGTGATAATAATTAATATAAGAATAAGCATCAACAATTATAATTTAATTTATATTTATAATTTATAAATTTAAAAAAATTTGAGAAGGCTCTGCATAGATTTAAAATAACGATTGCTATGGCATGATAAAAAGTGATGCATATTGTAGTTAAACATTATATGTATTACTTTATTTAAGAATAAGTATTAACAATTATCAATACAATTATAGCATGTAGAATATTGCTACATTACCTTAGAGTCGGCGAAAATTAATTTTAGTAGTTTTCCTGATCCTTTGTTATTCTCATAAGAGGACTCAATAGTTCTTAGGATAACAACATGAATGGTCCACTCTCTTTGAAACCTTTTTAGTTGGCGTATTTGAATGTGTGGAATTGGAGTTTCGTTGGTGGATGACATTGTTCCCGCAAGATTTTGAATAGTTTGTTATATATAAATAACAACGCATCTGAAGTACTAAATAAACAAAAATAAAATAAAATGAGACTATTTCTATATCAAATGTATAACACTATACAAATTAAAAGTTATGAAATTTTAAATATATATAGATAGATATGAATGTGTTTTTTTTAATTTGAATTTATTAATTAATATTATTTAAAATGTTTAAAGTTATTTTAATTTTGATTAGTACATGATTTTGAACGAACAGAGTGAATGATGTAATAATGAATTGTAATATTTTTTAATTTTATTTTTAAGAAAAAAACTTTAATAAAATTATATCTGCTTATTATATAAATTCCAAACCTTCAAAAATATTATTTGACATACTATTCTTGTACCGTTGCATAGTCCATTAGTTGGATCCAAGTTCCTTAGTAAAATAATTGGACAATATTTTTTCAACATGAGCTTATGTGGCAGTAGTCCATTAGGGAGGAGAGTGTTCAAAAATTCTTCTTGGTAATGATGATTAGTGTCATCAACTGCTTCATCAAAGCTATAGAAATCTTTTCCTTCTCTTGGAAATCTTTTTATTAGTCTATCATTTAACATATCAACATATTCATTTTTTGTTGTAAGGATAGCTCTATCTTTCATATAGTCAATAGACTTGAAATTCTCATATAAAGATGGAAAAATTGAACTTATTAGAGAATCTTCCGGTAGGTCATCACTTTCATTCCGGATCAACATTTCATTAGGCACTTTCATGAGATCCTGGGTCACTGTTGGTTCATCTCCATTCCCAATCCTAAGAAGAAATTCACTGAATGCTGTGTCTGATTTTGCTCTCATATTTTTTGAAAGTTGTAGTTTGGTCATTTTGCTCTACAAATGTGAGCTTACTAAAATTTCTCTGATAGTTTGTGATCTTGTTGAGCGAGGCACCACAGGTAAAACCTGTCTGAAATCGCCACCAAATACAAGTACTTTTTCGCCAAATGGTTCATCTTGATCCATTAAATCTCTTATTGTTCTATCCAACGTTTCAATTGTAACGCGTTTAGCCATATGAGCCTCGTCCCAAATTATTAGACTAGCTATTCTAATGAGTTTTGATGTCCCATCTTGCTTTGATATACCACACATAGATGAATC